TCAGGGTAAAGCAAATAATTCCATTTATTACCTCTCCACCCTCCCATGTCATTTGTGACATCAGAATTTGGGTTGGTTTCCCTTGATTTCCTAAAGTTTGGGATCATTTCTGTCTCTTCCATCAATTTTTCAAGCCCATTTTGACAAAAAGGCAGCGATTTCTCCAATTTTCTCCAAAAAATCCGTGGGTTTCTGCTCATCAGCTCGAGTGAGCAGAAATTTGCTCCCTCCATTTCTGCTCAATTTTCTCTAAAGGGGTGTCAAACAAAAAACAAAAAACAACAACAACAAAAAAACAAAAGCAAAAACAAAAACAAAAACAAAAACCAATGAAAAAAACCCAACAAAAAACCAAAAAACAAAAACAAAACCACATAAAAATCACAAAAAAAAAACCCCAAAAAAAACCAAAAAGGAAAAAATGCAAAATCTGGACTTTTAAACCCAAATTTTTACTTTATTTCACACCAAGGCATCACCCCCTTGCCCCGTTCTTCACTCAACTCAAGAAAAACTCCTTTAATCTCTTAACATCTCACAGCAAATTTTGCCCAATTTTATTTCTCCTTTAATTTTGTCACATCTGTCCAAAAAACTTGTGAAAATCATTAAAAATACCCCATGAAAGAGCATTTTATTTTATTTCCCCTTTAATTTTTTCACACCTGTCCAAAAAACTTGTGAAAATCATCAAAAATACCCCATGAAAGAGAATTTTTGATGCTTTTTTCATGGGGTTTTCATGCAGTGCTCCCAATCCAGTTAAGATTTTTGCTTTTTGCTTTGATTTATTCTTGGTTTTGGTTTTCTTTTTTAGCAATTTTGGCATTTTGCACCTCTAGAACCCATAGTGCAGCTCGGGTGGTGATGCCAAACATTTCAAATAATCCTGGTGGCTTTTTTAAAATCAGATCTAAAATTAAACCAGCCCTGACAAAAGGCTTGAACTAAACTCAGCTTATTTAAATTTAGTGGTGCAACTATTAAACCACAGAGAATCCTCAAGAAATGACTCAAAGGTGGCAAGGAAGGCAGAAAATTCTCATTTTTTTCAAGTCTCTGCCATTCCTCTGCCTCTTATTTTTCACAAAAATTATTAATTTCATTTATTAATTAAAAAAAAAAATTCCTGGTGCTGCTTAGCTGATAAATTTGCAATATAAACCTGAAGATTTTTAAATATTGAGCTTAAATATTAATTATTGACATTGATTATTGCTCTTTTCCAGGTACAGCTGGAGCCAGCAGATATGAGCTCTCTCCAAAAGGTTTGATCCTGGCAAAAATCTTGGAATCATGGAATTGTTTGGGTAGGAAGGCACCTAAAACTGAAATTCCATGGGCAGGGACACTTCCACTATCCCAATTTCCTCCAAGCCCCCATCCAACAATTCCAGGCGTGGAGCAGCCATAAATTCTTTGGGAAAAATCTCTTTTTTTTTTTTTTTTTTTTTTTTTGAGAGATGCCAGCCAGGAAAAATCCTCCCAGGATGGAGCAATTGCAGTTTTTATGGAATTATTGCCATGAATTTTCCAGCTCCGTCCTTTCAAACCAGAATGGATTTATGGAATTTTATCCTCCTGCAGGGGCAAAATTGGTATTTCCTCCAAAATTGGTATTTTCTCCCAAATTGGTAATTTTCAGGAGAAAAACTTGGATTTTTCCATCCCATTCCCCATCCCGGTCCCTCCAGTCCTCCTGTCCCCCATCCCAGATACCCCAGTTTCCCATCCCAGTCCCCCATTCCCCATCCCATTCCCCCCAGTCCCCCCATTCCCCATCCCAGTCCCCAGTTCCCCATCCCAGTCCCCCTGTCCCCCATCCCAGTCCCCCAGTTCCCCAGTTTCCCATCCCAGGACCCGAGTTTCCCATCCCGGTCCCCCCAGTTCCCCATCCCAGTTTCCCCCGTTCCCCATCCCAATCCCCCCCAATCCCCCCCATTCCCATCCCAGTTCCCATCCCAGTCCCCCCATTCCGCATCCCAATTCCCCCCAGTACCCCCCAGTTCCCATCCCAGTCCCCCCATTCCCATCCCAGTTCCTCCTGTTCCCCAGTTCCCCATCCCAGTCCCCCCAGTACCCCCATTCCCCATCCCAATCCCCCCCAGTCCCCCCAGTTCCCCATCCCAGTCCCTCCAGTCCCCCATTCCCCATCCCAGTGCCCCATTCCCCATCCCAATCCCCCCAGTCCCCCTGTCCTTCATCTCAGTCCCCCCAGTCCCCCCAGTCCCTCCTGTTCCCCATCCCAGTCCCCCTATTCCCCATTCCCCATCCCATTCCCCATTCCCCATCCCATTCCCCATCCCAGTCCCCCCAGTCCCCCCATTCCCCATCCCAGTCCCCCCAGTCCCCCAGTCCCCATCCCAGTCCCCCCAGTACCCCCCATTCCCCATCCCAGTCCCCCATTCCCCATCCCAGTTCCCCCAGTTCCCCAGTTCCCCATCCCAGTACCCCCCATTTCCCATCCCAGTCCCCCAGTTCCCCATCCCAGGACCCGAGTTTCCCATCCCAGTTCCCCTGTTCCCCCCATTCCCCATCCCATTCCCCATCCCAGTCCCCCATTCCTCATCCCAGTCCCCCATTCCCCATCCCAGTCCCCCCCAGTTCCATCCCAGTGCCCCCATTCCCCATCCCAGTCCCTTGTTCCCCATCCCAGTCCCCCCATCCCAGTCCCCCCAATCCCCCCCGTTCCCCATCCCAGTTCCCCAGTTCCCCATCCCAGGACCCGAGTTTCCCATCCCAGTCCCCCCATTCCCCATCCCAATCCCCCCAGTCCCCCTGTCCCCTATCCCAGTCCCCCCAGTCCCCCCAGTTCCCATCCCAGTCCCCATTTCCCATCCCAGTCCCCCATTCCCCATCCCAGTTCCCCCAGTTCCCCAGTTCCCCATCCCAGTACCCCCCATTTCCCATCCCAGTCCCCACATTCCCCATCCCAGTCCCCCGTTCCCCATCCCAGTCCCTCGTTCCCCATCCCAGTCCTCCATTCCCCATCCCAGTCCCCCCCATTCCCCATCCCAATCCCCCCAGCCCCCGTCCTTCATCTCAGTCCCCTCAGTTCCCATCCCAGTCCGCCCAGTTCCCCATCCCAGTCCCCCCAGTCCCCCATTCCCCATCCCATTCCCCATTCCCCATTCCCCATCCCATTCCCCATTCCCCATCCCAGTCCCCCCATTCCTCACCCCATTCCCCATTCCCCATCCCATTCCCCATTCCCCATCCCAATCCCCCCAGTCCCCCTGTCCCCCATCCCAGTCCCCTCAGTACCCCCCGTTCCCCATCCCAGTTCCCCCATTCCCCATCCCAATCCCCCCAGTCCCCCTGTCCCCTATCCCAGTCCCCCCAGTTCCCTATCCCAGTTTCCCATCCCAGTCCCCCCCATTCCCCATTCCCCATCCCAGTCCACCCAGTACCCCCCAGTTCCCATCCCAATCCCCCCCATTCCCCATCCCAGTCCCCCATTCCCCATTCCCCATTCCCCATCCCCATCCCCGCCGCCCCCGCTCAGTCCCGCACTACAACTCCCGGCATGCCGCGCGGCGGGCCCGGCGGGCCGCGGGCTGAGGCGGCGGGGCCGGGCCGGGCCGGGCCGGGCCATGGAGAGCCCGAGCGGCGGCAGCGGTGGCGGTGGTGGCGGATCCCTGCGGGGCGACATCAGTGAGTGCGCTGGGACCGGGCCGGGCACCGGGAACCGCCGGGGAGGGAGCGGGGAACCGGGAACCGGAGCCGCGCCGGGAGCTGCGCCCCGCGCCGCCTCGGGGATGGGGGGATTTGGGTGGTTGGAGCGCGGGTTGGGGTGTGAGGGGCTGGTTTGGGGTCTAAGGATGGATTTGGGGTTTAAAGGGTGTTAAAGAGTGCTTTGGGGTTAAAGTGTGGCTGTGGGTTTTTAAAGAGTGGTTTGGGGTTAAAGGATGGGATTTGGGGGCTGCAGGGCGGGTCAGGGAGTGAGGGGCCACTCGCAAGGGAAGGGATAAGGGGATGGGTGTCAGGACACCGGGAAGGATCCTTGATCCTCCCTAAATCCCCTCCTGCGGTGTTTGGCGCTGTGGGATCGGGACGTTCCCACCTTGGAACCGCGGGTGCCCAAATCCCGGGTCACCCCCGGGGCTCGTGTCCCGATTCCCGGGGCAGGGACACCTCCCACTGTCCCAGGCTGCTCCAGCCCCGGTGTCCTGCCTTTCCTTGGACATTCCAGGGATCCAGGGGCAGCCCCAGCTGCTCTGGCAATCCCAGCCCAGCCAGGAATTCCTCATTCCCAAGATCCCATCCATGGCTGCCCTCTGGCAGTGGGAGCCATTCCCTGTGTCCTGTCCCTGCAGGCCTTGTCCCCAGTCCCTCTGCAGCTCTCCTGGAGCCCCTTCAGGCCCTGGAATGTGCTGGAAGCTCTCCCTGGATCCTTCTCCTCTCCAGGGGAACATTCCCAGCTCTCCCAGCCTGACATTGGATCCATCTCCTCTCCAAGAAATTCATGGACCCAGAAGCTTCACTTGGAATCTCAGGAAGCCATGAAGGGTCTCCCTTCCCTTTCCCTCTCTCTTCTATCCCCATTTTCCATAAAAATCCCTCAGGATAGATCCTGAGTGTCCCAAATCCCAGAATCCTGGACCAGTTTGGGTGGGAAGGGACCTCAAAGCTCATTCCAGGGACACCTGCCATGATCTCAGGGTGCTCCAGTCCTTCCTTGGACATTCCAGGGATCCAGGGGCAGCCCCAGCTGCTCTGGCAATCCCAGCCCAGCCAGGAATTCCTCATTCCCAAGATCCCATCCATCCCTGCCTCTGGCAGTGGGAGCCATTCCCTGTGTCCCTCCAGGCCTAGTCCCCAGTCCCTCTGCAGCTCTCCATCCTCATTTGGATTTGCTTCTCCCGACACAAAAACCAGGAGGAGCTCCAGGCAAGGAAAACCACCCTGCCCAGGGATACTGGCAGAGGAATGAGGATCTCCCAAACCAAGGGAAAAAACCCTGTGGAAATGTTTGGATTGAGAATTCCCTTTTTTTCTTTTTATGGAGAGGCTGCATGAAAAACACGGAGCTGTTTTTACTCAGGGCCACCTCCAAAGCAAAGCCCACCGGAGAGGAGGTGACATTGTCTGTTGTCACCTCACGGTGCCACACGAGCCAGAGCTGGGTGCTGAGCAAAGGAGTTCCAGGTGGGAACTTCTTGAGCTTTTGGGGAAGGGATTTTTGAGCTGGGCTGAGTTTTCCCTTGATCCCAGCTCTTTTTCCTTTAATAATCCAGAGTTTAGGAAGGGACTTTTTTAGTTGGGCTGAGTTTTCCCTTGATCCCAGCTTTTTTTCCTTTAATAATCCAGAGTTTGGGAAGGGATTTTTTGAGTTGGGCTGAGTTTTCCCTTGATCCCAGCTCTTTTTCCTTTAATAATCCAGAGTTTAGGAAGGGATTTTTTGAGTTGGGCTGAGTTTTCCCTTGATCCCAGCTCATTTTCATGTTCCTCCAGGAATCCAGAATTTGGGAAGAGATTCTTGAGTTGGGCTGAGTTTTTTCCTTAATCCCAACACTTTCCATGCTCCTCCAGGAATCCAGATTTTGGGTAGGGATTTTTGGAGGTGAGCTGAGTTTTCCCTTGTTCCCAGCTCTTTTTCCATGTTCCTCCAGGAATTCAGAGTTTGGGCAGGGATTTTTGATTTGGGCTGAGTTTTTCCTTGATCCCAGCTCCTTATCCTTGCAGCCAGCCCATGTTCCTCCAGGAATCCAGAGGGATTTTTGAGTTGGGCTGAGTTTTTTCCCTTGGTCCCAACCCTTTCCATGCTCCTCCAGGAATCCACATCTCCATGGAACAATTTGTGCTGGAAGAGGTTGAAACCCCCCTTGTTCCATCACCTTCCACCGCCCCAGCTCGCTCCAAACCCTCTCCAAAACCCATCCTGGGACAATTCCAAGGGCGTGACAACCACATCTTCCCACATATGGATCCCATCCCAGCTCCTCCCTACCCTCCTCATCCCGTGGGGTGCCAAATACTGTTGGAATCTGAGGTATTGATGATTCTGAGATTATAGAAAGTCTCTGTCTGTCAGCCCCACTGCCAAAGAAGAGCCATAATTGGTCTGTGCTGGTTTCAAGGTTGTTTATTCTGTTTATCTCTAACATGTTCTGCTGCCCTGCCGCAGCTCTGTCCTGCAGGGCAGCGTGTGGGGCTCTGCCCTCAGTGGGATGTTACAAACATTAAATACCACAAACTACCTGTGCTGGATTTACAATAACGTGCCAATATCTGTCACCTACGTTGGACAGTGTGTCCCCAGCCTGAACCAACAGAAAAATGCCAACACTACAGTGAAACATGGAGGGCATGAAGAAGGAGAAAAAGGACAAGACACACCCAATTTCCTCCATCTTGTCCCCTTTGAACCCTAATCCAGAATCCTAAAATTTTACTTTTGCACCTGTGCCACACTTAATTATTGCTTATATCAAACACTCAAAGCTTGTAATTCATGCTGTAAGATTGAAAACTCTTTTCCATGGACAGAGATCACAGACAGTGTCTCTGGGGGCTCTGTATAGGGGGGTTCCTGTACAGGCCTTCCAGGGCAGCCAGAGGGAAGCTTTAGATTCCCACAAAACACCCATTTTTCCCTCCACACCCACGCTTTTATTTTTTTTTTTGACAAATTGCCTCTTCCCCAGGTTTCTGGGCGGACAGGACGCCGGTGCACGAGGCGGCGCGGCGAGGGGAGATCCTGCAGCTGCGGCAGCTGATCGAGAGCGGCGCCTGCGTCAACGCCGTCACCTACGACTCCATCACGCCCCTGCACGAGGCCAGCCTCAGGGGACAGGCCCAGTGTGTCAAACTGCTGCTGGACGCGGGTGCCCAGGTCTGCATCCCGCTCCCATCCGCCTGGGAATCCTCCTGGATGGGCTCTGGGAGGTGTTTGTGGCATCCGGGTCACCCCCGGGGATGGAGGATCTGGATGTGGTGGTGCCAGAGCTGATCCTGCTGGTGGTTCCCAATATTCCAGCTCATTCCCCCAGTGTCACTTACAGGTTTGGGTCTGATCCCAGCTCATCCCATTCTCAACACCTGCCTGGAAAAAGATGGAAAATCCCAATCCTCCTGGGGTGAGGTCGGATCTGTTATCCTGTGGCAGCTTCAGCCACCAGCAAATCCAGGGTTAAAATAATTCCCTGTGGGGAAAAGCTGGGAGAGGGGAATTCCAGAGTTGGAAAAACCCTGGGAGATCCAATCCCAAAAAACCCAAAAGAATTGGGAAAAAAAATTGGAAATCCAGTCCAGCACCTGGTTTTGCTTAGGAACAACCACCTTGGCTCACTGAGTTAAAAACAGCAAAAGAAATGATCCCACCCCAAACCAGGATGTAATTCCCAAGTTTAGGGCCAGGGAAGATTAATTCAGGAACGTGGAGCTGCATCCTGAAAACTCCATTTCCTGAGGAAAAGGTGAAATTGTTGCATTTGTGGGTTGTTTTTTATTCCTCATCTGCAGCATCCTGGGGCAAGACCTCCAGGAAACACGGGGAAACATCGGCCCAGTTTATTCCAGAGGTTTGGTTCTGTGGGGAAAAGCTGGGAGAGGGGAATTCCAGAGTTGGAAAAACCCTGGGAATTCCAATCCAGCCGTTCCCACCCCTGCCAAGGCCACTGCTGCTGTCCCCAGTGTCACTTCCAGCTTTTAAATCCCTCCAGTGCCCCGGGCAACCTCTTTTTAGGGGGGAAAATTTCCCTCATATCCAGTTTTTCCTAAAATTTCTGTTGCTACCATTCCACTCAGCAAACAGCTCCCAGGAGTGGGATCAGCTGGAGAAGGAAAATCCCTGGATCTCAGTTGGAAAAGGAAAAACAAAACCTCTGGATCAGCCAAGGGGAAACTCTGTTTTTTCTGGGAAATCTCCTACAGGGAGATGGAATTGGGATAAGAGGAATTAAACTCCAAAAGAATTTGGGAAAGATGATCCAAAGGAATCTCTGGAAGAACCAAACTGCTTTTTGGGGTACTTATGGTAGGATAAAAAGCTCCTGGATTTCTCCCAAATGTTGGTGTAAATTCACAGTGGGATGTGGTGGTGCCAGAGCTGATCCTGCTGGTGATTCCCAATATTCCAGCTCATTCCAAGCTTGGGATCAAGGCAGGATAATTGTTAGGGCGTGGGATTTTGAGGATTTGACAGCATCCAAATGTCTGCAGTGAATGCTACTTTTAACCTGCTTTTAACCTGTTTTAACCTTCTTTTTGCTACTTTTAATCTGCTTTTCACCTGTTTTAACCTGCTTTTCCCTACTTTTAACCTGCTTTTCACCTGTTTTAACCTGCTTTTCCCTACTTTTAACCTCCTTCCACATACTTTTAACCTTCTTTTCCCTGCTTTTAACCTGCTTTTCACCTGCTTTTAACCTTCTTTTCCCTACTTTTAACCTGCTTTTCACCTGCTTTTAACGTCTTTTTCCTTGCTTTTCCCTGCTTTTCCGTACATTTAACCTGCTTTCCTTACTTTTCACCCGCTTTTCCCTACTTTTTAACCTGATTTTCCGTGCTTTTAACCTGCTTTTAACCTGCTTTTCCCTACTTTTAACCTCCTTTCACATACTTTTAACCTTCTTTTCACTACTTTTAACCTGCTTTTCACCTGTTTTAACCTTCTTTTCCCTACTTTTAACCTATTTTAACCTGCTTTTCACCTGCTTTTAACGTTTAATTCCTTGCTTTTCCCTGCTTTTTCACCTGCTTATCCCTGCTTTTAACCTCTTCTTGCTTTTCCTTACTTTTCACCTGCTTTCCCCTACTTTTAACCTGGTTTTCCCTACTTTTAACCTGGTTTTCCCTACTTTTAACCTTCTTTTCCCTACTTTTAACCTTCTTTTCCTTGCTTTAACCTGCTTTTCACCTGTTCTAACCTGCTTTTCCCTACTTTTAACCTCCTTTCACATACTTTTAACCTTCTTTTCGCTACTTTTAATCTGCTTTTAACCTTCTTTTCCCTACTTTTAACATGCTTTTCACCTGTTTTAACCTGCTTTTCACCTGTTTTAACCTGCTTTTCCCTACTTTTATCCTCCTTTCACATACTTTTAACCTTCTTTTCCCTACTTTTAACCCACTTTTCACCTGTTTTAACCTGCTTTTCCCTACTTTTAACCTGCTTTTCACCTGCTTTTAACGTCTTTTTCCTTGCTTTCCCCTGCTTTTCACCTGCTTATCCCTGCTTTTAATCTCTTCTTGCTTTTCCTTTCTTTTCACCTGCTTTCCCCTACTTTTAACCTGCTTTTCCCTGCTTTTAACCTGTTTTACCCTTATTTCCCCTGCTTTTAACCTGTTTTTCCCTACTTTTAACCTTCTTTTCCTTACTTTTCACTTGCTTTTCCCTACTTTTCACCTGCTTTTCCCTACTTTTAACCTGCTTTTCACATGCTTTTAATGTCTTTTTCCTTGCTCTTCCCTGCTTTTCACCTGCTTATCCCTGCTTTTAGCCTCTTCTTGCTTTTCCTTATTTTTCACCTGCTTTCCCCTGCTTTTAACATCTTTTTCCTTGCTCTTCCCTGCTTTTCACCTGCTTATGCCTGCTTTTAACCTCTTCTTGCTTTTCCTTACTTTTCACCTGCTTTTCCCTACTTTTTAACCTGATTTTCCCTGCTTTTAACCTGTTTTTCCCTGCTTTTAACCTGCTTTTCCGTACTTTTAACCCCCTTTCACATACTTTTAACCTTCTTTTCCCTACTTTTAACCTGCTTTTCACCTGCTTTTAACGTCTTTTTCCTTGCTCTTCCCTGCTTTTCACCTGCTTATCCCTGCTTTTAGCCTCTTCTTGCTTTTCCTTACTTTTCACCTGCTTTTCCCCCCTTTTAACGTCTTTTTCCCTGCTTTTCCATGCATTTAACCTGCTTTTCCTTACTTTTCACCCGCTTTTCCCTACTTTTTAACCTGCTTTTCACCTGTTTTAACCTGCTTTTCACCTGTTTTAACCTGCTTTTCACCTGTTTTAACCCGCTTTTCACCTGTTTTAACCTGCTTTTCCATACTTTTAACCCGCTTTTCACCTGTTTTAACCTGCTTTTCCATGCTTTTAACCCGCTTTTTACCTGTTTTAACCTGCTTTTCCCTACTTTAAGCTCCTTTTCCCGCTCCCTCAGGTGGACGCGCGGAACATCGACGGCAGCACGCCGCTGTGCGACGCCTGCGCCTCGGGCAGCATCGAGTGCGTGCGGGTGCTGCTGTCGCACGGCGCCAAAGTCAACCCGCCCCTGTACACCGCCTCGCCCCTGCACGAGGCCTGCATGAGCGGTGAGCCATCCTGGGAAATTCCAGGCACATTCCGGGGTCATTCCAGAGCAATTCCAGGGGAATTCCAGGGTCATTTCAGGGTCATTCTGGGGACATTCATTCCAGGTCAATCCCAAGGTCATTCCAGGGCAATTCCGGGTTCATTCCTGGGTTATTCCAGGGACATTCATTCCAGAGCAATTCTGGGGCCATTCCAGTGTTATTCCAGAGCAATTCAAGGGCAATTTCAGGGAGATTAATTCCAGGGACATTCCAGAGCAATTCTGGGGTCATTCTGGGGCCATTCTTGGGCCATTCCAAAGCAATTCCAGGGGAATTCCAGGGTCAATCCAGGGCAATTCCTGTGTCATTCTGGGGACATTCATTTCAGGTCAATCCCAAGGTCATTCCAGGGCAATTCAGGGTTCATTCCTGGGTTATTCCAGGGACATTCGAAGGTCATTCCAGGGCAATTCCAGGCTCATTTGAGGGCAATTCCCGGGACATTCATTCCAGAGCAATTCTGGGGCCATTCCAGGGCAATTCCAGGGTCATGCCTGGGTTATTCCAGGGACATTCATTCCAGGGACATTCGAAGGTAATTCCAGGGTTTTCCAGAGGAATTCAAGGGCAATTCCAGGGACATTAATTCCAGGGACGTTCCAGAGCAATTCTGGGGTAATTCCAGGGCATTCTGGGGACATTCCAGAGCAATTCCAGGGGAATTCCAGGGTCAATCCAGGGCAATTCTTGGGTGATTCTGGGGACATTCATTCCAGGTCAATCCCAAGGTCATTACAGGGCAATTCCAGGTTCATTCCTGGGTTATTCCAGGGACATTCATTCCAGGGATATTCCAGAGCAATTCAAGGGCAATTCCAGGGACATTCCAGAGCAATTCCAGGTTCATTCCTGGGTTATTCCAGGGACATTCATTCCAGGGATATTTGAAGGTCATTCCAGGGCAATTCCAGGGTCATTTGAGGGCAATTCCCGGGACATTCATTCCAGAGCAATTCTGGGGCCATTCCAGGGCAATTCCAGGGCAATTCCAGGGTTATTCCAGAGCAATTCAAGAGCAATTTCAGGGACATTAATTCCAGGGACATCCCAGAGCAAATCTGGGGCCATTCCGGGGCCATTCCAGAGCAATTCCAGGGCAATTCCAGGGTCAATCCAGGGCAATTCCTGGATTATTCTGGGGACATTCATTCCAGGTCAATCCCAAGGTCATTCCAGGGCAATTCCGGGTTCATTCCTGGGTTATTCCAGGGACATTCATTCCAGGGACATTCGAAGGTAATTCCAGGGTTTTCCAGAGCAATTCAAGGGCAATTCCAGGGACATTAATTCCAGGGACGTTCCCAAGCAATTCTGGGGTCATTCTGGGTCCATTCCTGGGCCATTCCAGAGCAATTCCAGGGGAATTCCAGGGTCATTCCAGGGCAATTCTTGGGTCATTCTGGGGACATTCATTCCAGGTCAGTCCCAAGGTCATTCCAGGGCAATTCCGGGTTCATTCCTGGGTTATTCCAGGGACATTCATTCCAGGGATATTCGAAGGTCATTCCAGGGCAATTCCAGGGGAATTCCCGGGCAATTCCAGGGCAATTCCTGGGTTATTCCAGGGACATTCACTCCAGGGACATTCGAAGGTAATTCCAGGGTTTTCCAGAGGAATTCAAGGGCAATTCCAGGGACATTAAGTCCAGGGACATTCCAGAGCAATTCCAGGGTTATTCCAGGGCAATTCCAGGGACATTCCAGGGCTATTCTGGGGTAATTCTGAGGCAATTCTGGGGCCATTCCAGGGCCATTCCAGGGACATTCATTCCAGAGCAATTCTCAGGCCATTCCAGGGACATTCATTCTGGGGACATTCCAGGGACATTCATTCCAGGGTCATTCCAGGGCAATTCCATCCTTGTGGGTTGAGATTTCCCAGTTTTCAGTGGGAATTCCTGGATTTCAGTGGGCTTTCTCTCATTTTCAGCGCAAATTCCCAGTTTTCAGTAGGAATTTCCAGATTTCGGTGGTATTTCCCAGTTTTCAGTGGGAATTCCACCCCGGTGGGTTGCGATTTCCCAGTTTTCAGTGGGATTTCCCAGTTTCCAGCAGGAATTCCACCCCGGTGGGTTGGGATTTCCCAGTTTTCAGTGGGATTTCCCAGTTTCCAGCAGGAATTCCACCCCGGTGGGTCGGGATTTCCCAGCTTTCAGTGGGAATTTCTGGATTTCAGTGGGATTTCTCTCATTTTCAGCGCAAATTCCCAGTTTTCAGCAGGAATTTCTGGATTTCAGTGGTATTTCTCAGTTTTCAGTGGGATTCCCCAGTTTCCAGTGGGAATCGCACGCTGATGGGTTGGGATTTCCCAGTTTTCAGTGGGATTTCCCAGTTTTCAGCGGGAATTCCACCCCAGTGGGTTGGGATTTCCCAGTTTTCAGTGGGAATTCCTGGATTTCAGTGGGATTTATCTCATTTTCAGCGCAAATTCCCAGTTTTCAGCAGGAATTTCCGGATTTCGGTGGTATTTCCCAGTTTCCAGTGGGAATTGCACCCCAATGGGTTGGGATTTCCCAGTTTCTAATGGGAATTGCACCCCGGTGGGTTGGGATTGCCCAGTTTCCAGCAGGAATTCCACCCCGGTGGGTTGGGATTTCCCAGTTTTCTGTGGGAATTCCTGGATTTCAGTGGGATTTCTCTCATTTTCAGTGCAAATTCCCAGTTTTCAGCAGGAATTTCAGGATTTCGGTGGTATTTCCCAGTTTTCAGTGGGGATTCCAGCCCAGTGGGTTGGGATTTCCCAGTTTTCAGTGGGAATTGCACCCCGGTGGGTTGGGATTTCCCAGTTTTCAGTGGGATTGCCCAGTTTGCAGTGGGAATTCCAACCCGGTGGGTTGGGATTTCCCAGTTTTCAGTGGGATTTCCCAGTTTCCAGTGGGAATTCCACCCCGGTGGGTTGGGATTTCCCAGTTTTCAGTGGGATTTCCCAGTTTCCTGCGGGAATTCCACCCCGGTGGGTTGGGACTGCCCAGTTTCCAGCGGGAATTCCCGGATCCGGTGGGATTTTCCCGGTTTCCGTGTCCCAGGCAGCCCGGAGTGCGTGCAGCTGCTGATCGAGGTGGGTGCCAACCTGGAGGCCCACGACTGCCACTTCGGGACCCCCCTGCACGTGGCCTGTGCCCGGGAGCACCTGGACTGTGCCAAGCTGCTGCTGCAGGCAGGTACGGCATTCCCGCCCGGAATCCTGCTGGGAGAGAGCGGGGGAACCGCTCTGGGAAACGGCTTCTGGCACAGAGCCCTCGCTGCCATGCCTGAGCCCATTCCTTATCCCGTTCCTGAGCCCGTTCCTGATCCCATTCCTGAGCCTGTTTCTGATCCTGTTCCTGATCCCATTCCTGATCCTGTTCCTGATCCTGTTCCTGAGCTCATTCCCGAGCCCATTCCTGATCCCGTTCCTGAGCCCGTTGCCGATCCCATTCCTGATCCCGTTCCTGATCCCGTTCCTGATCCCGTTCCTGATCCCATTCCTGATCCCATTCCTGATTCTGTTCTTCCCTGCACAGAGCCCTCGCTCCCATGCCTGAACCTGTTCCTGATCCCGTTCCTGATCCCGTTCCCGATCCCGTTCCTGATCCCATTCCTGATCCCGTTCCTGATCCCATTCCTGATCCCGTTCCTGAGCCCATTCCTGATCCCGTTCCTGATCCCGTTCCTGATCCCGTTCCTGATCCCATTCCTGATCCTGTTCTTCCCTGCACAGAGCCCTCGCTCCCATGCCTGAACCTGTTCCTGATCCCGTTCCTGATCCCGTTCCTGATCCCGTTCCCGATCCCGTTCCTGATCCCATTCCTGATCCCGTTCCTGATCCCATTCCTGATCCCATTCCTGATTCTGTTCTTCCCTGCACAGAGCCCTCGCTCCCATGCCTGAACCTGTTCCTGATCCCGTTCCTGATCCCGTTCCTGATCCCATTCCTGATCCCGTTCCTGATCCCGTTCCTGATCCCGTTCCTGATCCCATTCCTGAGCCCATTCCTGATCCCGTTCCTGAGCCCGTTCCTGATCCCATTCCTGATCCTGTTTTTCCCTGCACAGACTCCTCAGTCCCATTCCCGATCTCATTCCTGAGCCCATTCCTGATCCCAGTCCTGATCCTATTCTTCCCTGCACAGACCCCTCTGATCCGTGCTTTTTCCTAGCTAAATTCTATTTTCCCTGGCCAAATCTCCTTTCCTCTGGATAAAGGCCCTTTTCCCTGCCTGGATTTTCTTTTTCCCTGGATAAATCCCCTTTTCTCTGCCTGGATTTTCTTTTCCATGCCTGGATTTCTTTATCCCTGGCTAAATCCCCTTTTCCCTAGACAAATCCCATTTCCCCTGTTTAAATTCCCTTTTCCTCGAGATAAATCCCTTTTTCCCTGCCTGAATTTCCTTTACCCTGGATAAGTCCCCTTTCCCCTGGATAAATCCCTTTTTCCATGCCCGGCTCCCCTTTTCCCCGGCCAAATCCCCTTTTCCCTGCCTGGATCCCCTTTTCCTTGTTTAAATCTCCTTTTCCCTGGCCAAATCCTCTTTTCCCTGCCTGGATCCCCTTTTCCCTGGTTAAATCCCCTTTTCCCTGGGCAAATCCCCTTTTCCCTGCCTGGATCCCCTTTTCCCTGCCTGGATTTTCTTTTTCCCTGGATAAATCCCCTTTTCTCTGCCTGGATTTTCTTTTCCATGCCTGGATTTCTTTATCCCCGGTTAAATCCCCTTTTCCCTGGACAAATCCCCTTTTCCCTGGCCAAATCCCCTTTTCCCAGCCCGGCTCCCCTTTTCCCTGCCCTTTCCCCTTTTCCCGACTGGATTCTCCCATTTCCCATGCAGAATTCTGTGTTTAAATTCCCTTTTCCTTGAGATAAATCCCTTTTTCCCTGCTTGAATTTCCTTTTCTCAGCCCGGCTCCCCTTTTCCCAGCCCGGCTCCCCTTTTCCCTGCCCGGCTCCCCTTTTCCTTGTTTAAATCCCCTTTTCCCTGGCCAAATCCCCTTTTCTCTGCCTGGATTTTCTTTTCCATGCCTGGATTTCTTTATCCCTGGCTAAATCCCCTTTCCCCTGGACAAATCCCCTTTCCCCTGGATAAATCCCTTTTTCCATGCCTAGATCCCCTTTTACCTGGCCAAATCCCCTTTTCCCAGCCTGGCTCCCCTTTTCCCTGCCTGGATCCCCTTTTCCCAGCCCAGCTCCCCTTTTCCCAGCCTGGATCCCCTTTTCCCTGCCCTTTCTCCTTTTCCCGGCTGGATTCTCCCGTTTCCCATGCAGAATTCTGTGTTTAAATTCCCTTTTCCTTGAGATAAATCCCTTTTTCCCTGCCTGAATTTTCTTTTCCCTGGATAAATCCCCTTTTCCATGCCTGGATCCCCTTTTCCCTGCCCGGTTCCCCTTTTCCTTGTTTAAATCCCCTTTTCCCTGGCCAAATCCTCTTTTCCCTGCCTGGATCCCCTTTTCCCTGGTTAAATCCCCTTTTCCCTGGTTATATCCCCTTTTCCCTGGTTAAATCCCCTTTTCCCTGGCCAAATCCTCTTTTCCCTGCCTGGATCCCCTTTTCCCTACCCAGCTCCCCTTTTCCCTGCCCAGATCCCTTTTCCCCTGGATAAATCCCCTTTTCCCTGCCTGGATCCCCTTTTCCCTGGTTAAATCCCCTTTTCCATGCCTGGATTCCCTTTTCCCAGCCCAGCTCCCCTTTTCCCAGCCCAGCTCCCCTTTTCCCAGCCCAGCTCCCCTTTTCCCAGCCCAACTCCCCTTTTCCCTGCCCTTTCCCCATTTCCCGGCCGGATTTTCCCGTTTCCCACGCGGAATTCCGTGTGCCGTGCCAGGAGCCAACGTGAACGCTGCCAAGCTGCACGAGACCGCGCTGCACCACGCGGCCAAGGTGCGCAACGTGGACCTGGTGCAGCTGCTGGTGGAGTTCGGGGGCAACATCTACGCCCGGGACAACCGCGGCAAGAAACCCTCGGATTACACCTGGAGCAGCAGCCCCACCGCCAAGTGCTTCGAGTTCTACGAGAGTGAGTGCGGAAAATCGGCTTTTCCCGGGAGTTTGGCCATCAAATCCACTTTGTCCTGGGAGTTTGGCCATCAAATCCACTTTGTCCTGGGAGTTTGGCCATCAAATCCACTTTGTCCTGAAAATTTTGTTGTCACATCCCCTTTTCCCGGGAGTTTGGCCATCAAATTCCTTTGTCCTGGGAATTTGGTCATCAAATCCCCTTTGTCCTGGGAATTCAGTCATCAAATCCCCTTTTTATTGGGAATTTGGTCATCAAATCCACTTTATCCTGGGAATTTGATCATCAAATCCCCCTTTCTCCTGAAAATATGGTCATCAAATCCCCTTTTTCTGGGAGTTTGGCCATCAAATTCCTTTGTCCTGGGAATTTGGCCATCAAATCCACTTTTTTTTGGAATTTGGCCATCAAATCCCCTTTTTATTGGGGATTTGGCCATCAAATCCACTTTGTCCTGAGAATTTGGTCATGAAATCCTCTTTTTCTTGGGAATTTGGCCATCAGATCTCCTGATCCAGTTGAATTTGGCCATGAAATTCCCTTTGTCCTAGGACTTTGGCCATCAAATCCACTTTTTTTTGGAATTTGGCCATCAAATCCCCTTTTTATTGGGAATTTGGCCATCAAATCCACTTTGTCCTGGGAGTTTGGCCATAAAATCCTCTTTTCTCCTGAAAATTTGGTCATCACATCCCCTTTTTTCTGGGATTTTGGCCATCAAATCCACTTTGTCCTGGGAATTCAGTCATCAAATCCCCTTTTGATTGGGGATTTGGCCATCAAATCCACTTTGTCCTGGGAATTCGGTCATCAAATCCCCTTTTTGTTGGGAATTCGGTCATCAAATCCTCTTTCTCTTGGGAATGTGGCCATCAGATCTCCTGATCCAGTTGAATTTGGCCATGAAATTCCCTTTGTCCTGTGAGTTTGGCCATCAAATCTCTTTTTACTGTGAATTTGGTCATCAAATCCCTTTTGTCCTGAGACTTTGGCCATCAAATCCCCTTTTTCTTTGGAATTTGGCCATCAAGTCCCCCTTTTATTGTGAATTTGAACATCAAATCCACTTTGTCCTGGGAATTTGATCATCAAATCCCCCTTTCTCCTGAAAATTTGGTCATCACATCCCCTTTTTCTGGGAGTTTGGCCATCAAATCCACTTTGTCCTGGTAATTCAGTCATCAAATCTTCTTTTTTTTTGGGAATTCAGTCATCAAATCCCCTTTTTATTGGGGATTTGGCCATCAAATCCACTTTGTCCTGAGAATTTGGTAATGAAATCCTCTTTTTCTTGGGAATGTGGCCATCAGATCTCCTGATCCAGTTGAATTTGGCCATGAAATTCCCTTTGTCCTAGGACTTTGGCCATCAAATCCACTTTTTCTTTGGAATTTGGCCATCAGATCCCCTTTTTATTGTGAATTTGACTATCAAATCCACTTTGTCCTGGGAATTTGATCATCAAATCCCCCTTTCTCCTGAAAATATGGTCATCACATCCCCTTTTTCTGGGATTTTGGCCATCAAATCCACTTTGTCCTGGGAATTTGGCCATCAAATCCCCTTTTCTTTGGAATTTAGCCATCAAATCCCCTTTGTCCTGAGAATTTGGTCATGAAATCCTCTTTTTCTGGGATTTTGGCCATCAAATCAGCTTTGTCCTGGTAATTCAGTCATCAAATCCTCTTTTTATTGGGAATTTGGTCACCAAATCCACTTTGTCCTGGGAATTTGGTCATGAAATCCTCTTTTTCTTGGGAATGTGGCCATCAGATCTCCTGATCCAGTTGAATTTGGCCATGAAATTCCCTTTGTCCTGTGAGTTTGGCCATCAAATCCCCTTTGTCCTGGGAATTCAGTCATCAAATCCCCTTTTTATTGTGAATTTGGCCATCAAATCCACTTTGTCCTGGGAGTTTGGCCATCAAATCCCCCTTTCTCCTGAAAATTTGGTCATCAAATCCCCTTTTTCTGGGAATTCAGTCATCAAATCCCCTTTTTATTGGGGATTTGGCCGTCAAATGCACTTTGTCCTGGGTGTTTATCCCATTTTATCCTGTTTTTATCCCATTTCCCCATTCCTGACCCTGTTTTTCCTCATTTTTATCCCATTTTTATCGCATTTCCCCATTCCTGACCCTGTTTTTCCTGTTTTTATCCCATTTCTGATCCCATTTCCCTGTTTTTATCCCATTTTCCCATTCCTGACTCTGTTTTGATCCTGTTTTTATCCCATTTCCCTGTTCCTGACCCCTTTTCTCCCCATTTTTATCCCATTTTTATCCCATTTCCCCATTCCTGACCCCGTTTTTCCCCATTTTTATCCCATTTCCCCGTTCCTGACCCCATTTTATCCGATTTTTATCCCATTTCCCCATTCCTGACCCCGTTTTTCCCCATTTTTATCCCATTTCCCCGTTCCTGACCCCGTTTTTCCCCATTTTTATCCCGTTTTTATCCCATTTCCCCATTCCTGACCCCGTTTTTCCCCATTCCTGCCCCCATTTTCCCCATTTTTCCCCATTTCTGATCCCATTTCCCTGTTTTTATCCCATTTTCCCGTTCCTGCCCCCATTTTCCCCGTTTTTTCCCCATTTCTGATCCCATTTCCCTGTTTTTATCCCATTTTCCCGTTCCTGCCCCCATTTTCCCCGTTTTTTCCCCATTTCTGATCCCATTTCCCGTTCCCACCCCGCTGTCCCGCAGAGACGCCGCTGAGCCTGGCGCAGCTGTGCCGTGTCACCGTGCGCCGCGCCGCCGGCCAGCGCGGCCTGGACAAGATCTCCAAGCTGGAAATTCCCCCCCGGCTCATCCGGTACCTCTCCTACAACTGACCGAGCCGGGAACAGCCCAAATCCCGGGAAAACCCCACGGGATCTGGGAATTCTCCTGCTCTTCTACCTCCCCCAGACCCCCTTTTAATTTAATTTCAGGCACTGCTGTAAATAGGAATTGTCAGGATTTCTCCTCTTCCCTGTCAGCTTTTTTGGGATTTCCCAGCTGGGGTTTCAAGTGGGATTCCCTGATTTTCCCAGATTTCCTCGGTGGGATCCAGCCAGGGGAGAGGGAAATGGGATAACTGGGGAGTGGGAATCATTCCAGCTGGGAATTCCTTGCTCTGGAGCAGCTCTGATCCCATTTCTGATCCCATTTTTCCCATTTCTGATCCCATTTTTCTCTGCACAGACTCCTCTGATCCTACTTCTGATCCCGTTTTTCCCATTTTTCCCCATTTTTCCCTGCAGAGATCCCTCTGATCCCAATTTTCCCATTTTTATCCCATCACCCATCCCCTTCTGGATGATCCAGGACCCCTTTCCCTGCTGGCTGCAGAGGGACTGGGAGGGGAAATCCTTGGATTTGGATGGGATCCCACCCTTGGGAATAACTCCAGGGACAGCTGCGAGCCCAGCTGGGGGCAAATTAATTCCCTGTTAATTCATTAATTCCCTAAATTAATTCCCTAAATTAACAATTTCCTAAATTAACAATTCCCTAAATTAATTCCCTAAATTAATGATTCCTAAATGAATTCCCTAAATTAATGATTCCTAAATGAATTCCCTAAATTAATGATTCCCTAAATGAATTCCCTAAATGAACGAGCTCAGGGCTAATTAGAGGCACTGCAGCTCATTTATTTAGGGAATTTTTAGGGTTTTCCAGGAGCATCCAGAGGCTTTGGATCAACACCAGGAATGAGGAGAGGCCTGGGATTGGCTGTGTCCCATCCCCATTCCCAATCCCATTCCCATTCCCCATTCCAGGACATTCCCTGATCCCAAATTTGATTTCCCCCTCCCTGGAGATCCCATGGGATGCAGCAGGACTGGGCTCTGCCTGGAAATTTGGGAATTTTGGGATTGATTTCCCCCCCTTTGGAGCTCTTTTCCCAATGCCAGTTTGGGATTGGGATTCCAGGGATTGGGATTGGGATTCCAGGCCTGAATCCCAGCTGGGATTCTCCTCCCCATTCCAGCTTTTCCATTTTTCCCACTAATCCCGGAAATCCCCAGGAGGACAAATTCCTGCAGAAATCCTGGAATTCCCTGGGATGCAGGCTGGGAATGCTGAGCTGGGGCCGAATGCACTTTATGGGGTTTAATTTCTATTTTATTTCTTCCTCCCTGCCCCTTTTCAGCCAGAAAATCCCAAAATCCCAAACCCTGCTGTTCTCATCCCGATTTTTGGGCTGGGATTCCCAAAATTGTGGAACTGGGGAAGCTCAGGGATGCCCCAGAGGGGTTTTTTTGGGTTTTTTTGTGGGATTCATCCCTGGGAACGGCAGGAAAAAGGTTTTGTGGGATAATTCAGGGATCCCAAAGCCCTTTCCAGAGTTCCCACATCTGTTTTTAGGGATCCCAAGTCCCTTTTCTGGGTCCCAAATCCCTTTTTAGGGTTCCCAAATCCCTTTTTAGGGATCCCAAGTCCCCTTTTAGGGTTCCCAGATCCCTTTTTAGGGTTCCCAAATCCCTTTTAGGGATCCCAAATCCCTTTTCAGGGTCCCAAATCCCTTTTTAGGGATCCCAAGTCCCCTTTTAGAGTTCCCAAATCCCTTTTTAGGGTTCCCAATTTGTCTTTAGGGATCCCACATCCATTTTTAGGGATCCCAAATCCCTTTTCAGGGTCCCACATCCCTTTTTAGGGATCCCAAGTTCCCTTTCAGTGTTCCCACATCCCTTTTTAGGGTTCCCAAATCCCTTTTAGGGATCCCAAGTCCCTTTTTAGAGTTCTCAGATCCCCTTTAGGGATCCCAAATCCCTTTTCAGGGTCCCACATCCCTTTTTAGGGATCCCAAGTTCCCTTTTAGTGTTCCCAAATCCCTTTTTAGGGTTCCCAATTTGCCTTTAGGGATTCCAAATTTCTTTTTAGGGTTCCCAGATCCCTTTTTAGGGTTCCCAAATCCCTTTTAGGGATCCCAAATCCCTTTTCAGGGTCCCACATCCCTTTTTAGGGATCCCAGGTTCCCTTTCAGTGTTCCCAAATCCCTTTTTAGGGTTCCCAATTTGCCTTTAGGGATTCTAAATTTCTTTTTAGGGATCCCAGATCCCTTTTTAGGATCCCAAATCCCTTTTTTAGGGATCCCAAATCCCTTTTTAGGTTCCCAAATCCCTTTTTAGGTTCCCAAATCCCCTTTTTAGGGATCCCAGATCCCTTTTTAGGGATCCCAAATCCCTTTTTAGGTTCCCAAATCCCTTTCTGGGTGGTTTTTCCAACCCTCCCCACACCAGTAGAATAATGGAATTACAAATTCCAAGTTTTTCTTGGAAAAACAAAAATATTCCTTGGAGAACCCACAAAGAATTCCCCAAGTCCCGTGGATTCCATCTTCATTTTCCCTGATTTTGGAGCTTTTTTGGGGATCCCGAAGTTTGGGTGTTTTTATTTCAAATCCTTTGCAGGAATTCCTGCTGCTGGGATTTAGGAGAGCTCCAGGCACCATCCTGGAATTCCAGCTTGGAAAACTGGGAATGATTTGTGGGCTGTGGCCTCTCCTGATCCATGAATTGCTGGGAGTAATTCCATTTATCCCATTAATTCCAATTCCAAGCCAATCCCAGTTTATTTGATCCCAGCTGGAATTTTTTGTGATCTTCCCTGCATGACCCAAATCCCTCTTGGATCACAGGGCCTGGGGGGTCTTTTCCAGATTTGGGGATTTCTGGGAATGCCAGAAGCAGCTGGATCCTTGGAATAATGGGAATAAACTCCTGGATTGGGCCTCGTTGGTTTTTGGGTCACTTTGGGACAATCCCTTCACCCTTTATTCCCAAATCCTGGATCAATCCCAAATCCCACCAGGCTGTTCCTGCTTTAACCTCCTCTTCCCAGGCTTCCCAAATTCCAAACCCAGCTGAAAATTTCGGGATAATTCCTCTTCCCTGTGGGTTTCCTGTGGATCCAGCAGGGCAGGGAATGATCCAACATAAAAAATTCCAGCTGGGAATGAGGATTTGTCTTCATCCATGGAAATCTTTGGGATTTCTCCTGGCTGGAATTTGGATTGGAGAAGGGGAGCTGGATCCTGGCAGCTTTTCCCAAAATTGGAATTTTATCCCGGGAAAACAAGGTGGGATTGGAGCCATTCCTTGGGAAGCTGGAGAATTTCACTCCTGGATCCCCTGGATGAGGGAAATCCCTGCAGGGTTTGTGCTGCAGCATCCCAAATCCCTGGAAAAACCAGGATTGGGATTCCTGTTTTTCACCTCCGGGGGTTTTGGTGTGAGGGGAAAAAATTCCCAGGAGTTTTCCTGAGCTTTGCATCCCTCAGATCCTCTGGAATGGGGCAGGAGCAAAGCTGGAATTCTGTCCCACCTCTGGCTTTGGGAATAAATCCACCCAAACACCGAAATTCCGGAGGATTTCCCTGAGCTTTTCCACAGATCTTTTTGGTGCCCATCCCAAATTTTTGGCTGGATTTGGGGAGTCGGGAGAAAATCCCTGGAGCACCAGAACGTGGTTTTAACCCCAAAATTGACATTTTCCAACTCCAACCCAGCCCTCAGACCCACAGGAGGGATCCAATCCCACGGATTTATTGGGATTTCTGGAGAACAGGATTAATCCTTTGGCTTTTCCCGCCTCTCCCACACATCACCAAGGAGAAAATCCCGAAAAAACCCCAAATTCCCTCGCTTTGAGACGGGTCCTGAGCTTTTGGTGGTGCCCTGATCTGGATTTTCCCTGGATTCATGTGCTGGAAAGGGGAAGAACTCAGTGCTGGGAATTTGGGCACCTGGAATTCATTCCTGGTAAAAGCTCAGGAAGGGTTCGGGTTATTCCTGATTAAAATTCACTCTGGAAAAGTCTCGCCCGTGTCCGGCTGTTGGTGTGGGATCTGCCCAGGAATTCCCTTCCTTCAGCAGCCTCATCCCAAATTCCAGGGCTGGGAGAGCTGGGAATGGAGGGAATTCCCTGGGAAAGGAGATTGGGGTGGGATTTTGGGAATGAGGAATTCCTGGCTGGGCTGGGATTGCCAGAGCAGCTGGGGCTGCCCCTGGATCCCTGGAATGTCCAAGGAAAGGTTGGAGCAGCCTGGGATGGTGGGATTGGAATGGGATGGGATTTGAGGTCCCTTCCCACCCAAACCATTCCGGGATTCTGGGATCAAGGAGGCCCAGAATCCCTCCCGAGGGATTTTTATGGAAGCTGGGGATGGAAAAGGGAAGGGAGACCCTTCCTGGAGTGCCGAGATTCCCAGTGAAGCCTCCAAATCCCAAAATTCCTTCCTGGAGCAGAGTCAGGGTGGGGATGGATCCAATGCCAGGCTGGGAGAGCTGGGAATGGAGGGAATTCCCTGGGAAAGGGAGATTGGGGTGGGATTTTGGGAATGAGGAATTCCTGGCTGGGCTGGAATTGCCAGAGCAGCTGGGGCTGCCCCTGGATCCCTGGAAAGTCCAAGGCCAGGCTGGAGCACCCCACATTATTCATCCCCTTCCCAAAACCTTTCATTCCTCATTTCCCAGGAAAAAACTGGGAAGAAGGGCTGGGGAATCTTCCCAGAGAAATTTGGGGCTCTGGGAGGAATCAGAGGCTGGAAACATTCCAGAGAAACCGGGAGGGGAACTTGGGAAAAACGGGATAATCCCTTTTTTTTCTTTTTTTTTTTTCCTAAGGAATGCTCTGCAGCAAATTTCCTCACCGAGTCCTGCCCGTGGATTTTTGAGGAGGAATTTTTGGGAGGATTTGTGGGAAAACTCTTCCCGGCGCGGCGCCGCTTGGCGGAGCTGCTTCCCCCAGGAAAAACTCCGGGATAGGAATTCCCAACCTGCAGCCTCGGCCCCGCTCATCCCAAATCCCGAGAAAACCTGGGAATTTCTGCTCCCTCAGCGGGTTCCCGTGGGCGGGAGGCGAAGGAACCACGAATCCCAAATTCCTCCAATCCGCAAACACGGGCCCTGCTAATCCTGGATTTGGGAATTTGGGATTTTTAATTTTATTTTTGGGAACAAAAAATCACCTCCAGAGGGTTCAGTTCCCACCTCCAGGCTCCACTTCTCACGGTCTCCAAAAAAATTGGAATAACAAAATTCCCTCTGGTCCCGTCTCAAGGCAGATGCATTTTTGAAGGAGAAAAACAGGAATTTCGGGAAAGACTCGGATAGGGAGGGAAGGGCGAGCACAGGGCAGCTTGTGCCTCCATGGATGGGCTGAAAATCGGGAAAAACGGGGGGAAATTTGTTATTCCTTTTTTTATTTTATTTTTACTCCTTCTTATTCCTTATTTTATTATATTATTTGCCTGGGTTTTTTTTTGTTTGGGTTTTTGTTGTTTTGTTTTGGGTTTTTTGGGGTGTTTTTTTGGTTTTTTTTTTGTTTTTTGTTTGTTTGGGGGTTTTTTTGTTGGTTTTTTTTGTTTTGTTTTTTGGGGGTTTTTGTTTGTGTTTTGGTTTTTTGTTTTGTTTTTTTTTTTTTTTTGTTTTGTTTTGGGTTGGGTTTTTGTTTTTTTTTTTTTTTGTTTTTTTGGGTTTTTTTTTTTGGGGGGTTTTTTTGTTTGTTTGGGTTTTTTTGTTTGGGGTTTTTTTGGGATTTCTCCTTCCCAGAGCTGATTTGGGCATTCCAGTTGAATTTTTAATCGAGTTAAAAATGAAGCTGAGAAGGGGAAGGGTGTGGAAATTTTAATTATTTATCCCTGGGGATGTTTTCTGCAGCAGCAGCCCCGACGGGGAAAAAAAGAGGGAAAAAATTCCCAAACTCCATCGGGCTGAGCTCATGTTCCTATTTAATTCCCGGCTGTTAAAATTCCAGCCAGCTCCAGGGGGGCTGGAAAAGCGAGCGCGGCTCCGGTTGCGCTTAACCCCTGCGGGGATTCCCGAATTTCTCAGGAATTTTGGGCTGGAGAGGATTTGCACTGGAATTCCTGCGGGATTTGGGATTTTTCCCGATGTTCCCAAACCTCTGCAGGTGCCTCCAAACTGCCACCCCTGCCCCATCCTGAGCTGCTGGAATTCCCTGCTGGGATTTTTGCCTCGGGATTGATCCCCTGGGGAATATTTTGGGAATTGGGAGTTTGGAAAAGCCCTGGGCAGTGGGAAGGGAGAGGAGCCCCGGTAAAATCCCGTGGGATTTATTTTGGGAATGGGATGGAGGAGGGGGATTGTCCCATCCCAAAGTCTTGTCCCGGTCCCCTGCTCCCACTTATTCCCACTTTTCCTTGTCCCCATCTCCTGGTTTCCTCAAATCCCCTTTTTTTGTCCCATTTATCCCCAGCCCAAATTTTCCTCCTTGTCCCCTCATCCCTTCTCCTGCTTTTCTCCATTTCTTCCTCCCACTTTTCCTCATCCCCATCTCATTTTTTTCCATTCCTCCCACAGATGGGATTTTCTCCTTTCGCAAATTACCCCAAAAGTGGAAAACCGGGAAGAAAAATCCCTTTAAAACAGGTTCCCAGGGAAATGGAATCGTTTCTTTATTCCATGTTTTGGTCGCATTTTCCCCTCATTCCCGTATCTCCCTGTCCTGCTTGTCCCCTCTCCTCATCCCCTGAATTCCATGAGGGATTAATGCCAAAAAACCAATTAATTTGGAGATAAACCCAACCCCTCCAGCCCCAAAATCAGGGATTTTCTCCCAAAGCTTTTCCCACCAAATTTTTCCGTTCTCCATCATTTTGGCCATCCCTGGACAACGTTTCCCACATTTCCCCGTGCCTGATTTTGGGATGATTCTGCAGATGGGATTTTTCTCCTTCCACCAACAACCCAAGAGCAGAAAACCAGGGAGAAAAATCCCCCTGAACCAGGTTCCAAAAACACCCCAGGGAAACGGAACAATTCCTTTTTTTTTCCAAAGCAAACATTGGAAAAACGAGTTCATAAAGGGATTTTTGGGCCTCCTGTTCCTGCAGACATTTCCCAGGCACCACGTCATTTATTGCTGGGGAGGGGGAGGGAGCCACGGATCCAGAGGGTTTGGAAAGGAAAAAAATGGGGAAAACTGGGAAAAAAAATCCTGTTTTCCTTTGGGAAAACCTTGGGAGGTCTCGGTGTTGTTTTCCCAATTTTAATTAATTTTTTTTTTAAACCTTGTTGTTGAAATGGGATGGAAACATCTCGGGTTGCTAAAATTAAAGGGAATGGGGAGAATTTGGGATCGATTCCACAGGATTGGAGCAAACATCTCCGGTTCTTTAGGATGGGGGATGCTGGGGGGGTTCCTGAGCTGCTTTTTTCCCTTAAAAATCCCATTTTAGGGGGAAACAATGTCCAGGTGAGCAGGGAAAGGGCAGCAGTGGGGGAAGAGTTGGATCCCTGGTTTTGGGTGGTCCTGGAGCCATCGGTGGATTTTTTTTGTTGGAAAATACCTGGAAAAGTTTCCCCTCCAACCACATCCCAAGGGATCCCCCCAGTCACATCCCATTCCAGGTGATCCCCGTGTCCCACCCTAAATCCACCCCAGGTCCCATCCCAGGGGTACCTCATGGTCCATTCCATGGATTCCTCTTCTGCCATTCCAGGTGTTCCCATCCCAGATTATCCTGACTCCAAATCCCACACTGGATGACCCCACAGAACCCATCCCAGGTGACCCCTATCCCAAATCCCACACTGGATGACCCCACAGAACCCATCCCAGGTGACCCCTATCCCAAATCCCACACTGGATGACCCCACAGAACCCATCCACGGTGACCCCTATCCCAAATCCCACACTGGATGACCCCACAGAACCCATCCCAGGTGACCCCTATCCCAAATCCCACACTGGAAGATCCTCCAGAATCCATTCCAGGTTATCCCAGGTGATTCCCAGTTCCCATCCCAGGTGATCCCTGTTCCACATCCCATCCGTCCATCCCCATCCCGACCAAGTTTTAGGGTGGAAAATCGGGATGTGGAGGGATCAGGGATGCTCCAAACTTCCCAGGCTCCAAGTGCATCCCCTGGACCTAAATTAATTTAATTATTAACCAGCACCAGATGGAATTCCATCGGTCATGGATCTGCCGGGTGGGATCCTGCAATTCCATCAGCTCCTTCTCCTCCAGAGGGACATTTTGGGGATGAAAACCTGGATTTGGGAAGGAAAATCCCCTAATTTTCCTGCTGAAAAAAACAGGACCATCCTGTCTGTTCATGTGTCCAGCCCAAGGGATGCTGGTGGGAATTTCCCAGTGCTCTCCTGAACACCAAATTTGGGGAAAAATGGGAAAACAAGGATGAACTTTCTCCGTTGTTGATGGAGCTGCCGGGCCGGGATCCGGGCTCCTGTTTAGGATCATCGTTAGGAAAAACCATCCCGGGGTAAGCAGAGAGGAAAAAACGCTCCGGAAATTAAACAACCCCAAAATAGAAGGAGAAAAAAAAAAAATTCAGGCCTAAAAATATCAGGATTGGTTTGGAGTTGGATCCTGGTGGGAAATAAATAATCCAGGTTTAGGGGAGGACTGATTTTAGCCGTTCATGACAACAGCTCGGCGCGACCCTGGAATTTTTTCCGGCTGGATTTTGCTGGATTTAGGGATTTTGGGGCTGGTTTTGCCCCGCTCCCATCCTGGGAGAGTGAGGGAGAAGGTGCTGGGAGCGAGCGTGGGCGCGCTGGGCTCTGCCAGGGCCCGCCCGGTTTTCCCGGGAAAACAACTGGGATTGCCAAAGTTCCCGGCCCCGGGGATGGGATGGGGCCGGGGTGAAGCCCTGGCAGATCCCAAATTCCCCATGGAGCAGCTCGTTAGCAACGGAACATTAATGAGATCCGTGAAAATGAATTTTCCTTCCAGTTCCTCTGTGGAATGATCCCATCCCAGGATCTCCCCTCGTTGTGGGGAAACTGAGTCACGGCGAGTTTGGGATTACGGCCAGGAAAGGTGAATCCCGCTCTGCTCAGCTTTGGGATGGGGATTAGGGATAAATCCAGCTTGGAAGAGGGAAAGGGAACCCTGAGATCCTGGGGGTGGAGACAGATCCCAGAAGGGATGAGATGTGGGGTGGGAAAGGCCACATCCTGGTCCCCAGCATCTTTCCAGCTTTTTGGGAAGAGGGATGGAAAATGGGAAGAGGATGGAGATGAGGAGGGGTTTGAACATGAGCAGGGTGATTTGAGGGAATATTTTCCAGCAGGGATCCCAAGGGGAAGCTGAGTGAAGCAGCCACCAGGGTGTGGGGGGATGTTTTTATTGGACTCAGGGAATTTTCAGTGGCCTCTGGAATATCTACAGACATGAGACATCCCATGGGGACCCCAAATCCATCCGCATCCCACATCTGATGCGGACGCCGGTTGGTGACGCTCCAACTGGGATAAAAGAGGATTTTTCCAACGTGGAGAAGGTGGGAGGGGATGGAGGGGCTGGGGGAGAACCACCACAACCTCTGTTCCTATGGGGAAAAAAATGAAGGAAAAATTAAAAAATAAAAAATAAAAAAAAGCACCACAAAAATTGATTTTTCCCACCACCAGCATGAGGAGGGGGAGCTAAGATGTGGGGATTTTGGGGATTTTCCATGGATGAGTTACCTGCGGGATGGATCTGGCGGTGACCATCACTTCTCCGTCATCATCCTCACGAACTCCTCGTAGTTGACCTGCCCGTCGTTGTTGCAGTCGGCCTCTTTGATCATCTCATCCACCTCCTCGTCCGTCAGCTTCTCGCCCAGGTTGGTCATGACGTGCCGCAGCTCGGCCGCGCTGATGTAGCCGTTGCCGTCCTTGTCGAACACGCGGAACGCCTCCCGGATCTCCTCCTCGCTGTCCGTGTCCCTCATCTTCCTGGCCATCAGCGACAGGAACTCCGGGAAGTCGATGGTGCCGCTGCCGTCGGCGTCCACCTCGCCCACCATGTCCTGCAGCTCGGCCTCGGTGGGGTTCTGGCCCAGCGAGCGCATGACGGTGCCCAGCTCCTTGGTGGTGATGCAGCCGTCGCCGTCGCGGTCGAAGAGGGAAAAAGCTTCCTTGAACTCGGCGATTTTCTCCTCCGACAGCCGCTCGGCCATGGTGCTGCCCGCCGGCACGCGGCTCTGTCCCGGCACGCCGAGGTGAGGTGGGAGGAGGAGGAGCCGCCTCCCTCCCTGTGCCTCTCCCCGGATCGGCAGCAGGAGGAGGAGGAGGAGGCAGGAATGGGAATGGATCCAAGTTTGGGAGCTGGGGAAGAAGAGTGACCCAACCCCCCTGGGCCAGCCTGGCTCTCGTCCCACGGCAGCGTTTCATGAGGCCAACAAACCCCAGTTAGGGATTTGGGCTGTAGTGGGGTGACACAGGTGATTTTCCCAGTTTTAGGGATATTTTGGAGCTGTACAAAGGAGTTGGGGGGTTCCGCCCGCAGCCTCCAGGCGCTGAAGGAGGATCCCCATGCAGGTCCCGGCAGATCCCGGCTGTCCGGAGCTGCCGGGGCCCTGAGTCACCTCGGGGTTGGATCCAGGGTGGTGACGTGGGGCTGGATCAGGGCAGGCGTGTGGGGTCCTGCCCTGTTAGTCAGGGGTGAGCTGAGGGGTCTCCCCACTGTAAGGTGGGGTTGCTCATCTCTTACTCAGGGTGGAAAGGACAGTGACAAATGAGGGGGTGTTTCTTCATCTATCCATCCATCCATCCATGGATCCCATCCACCCATCCATCAATGGATTCCATCCATCCATCCATCCATGGATCCCATACACCCATCCATCAATGGATTCCATCCATCCATGGATTCCATCCATCCATCCATCCATGGATCCCATCTGCCCATACATCAATGGATCCCATCCACCCATTAATGGATTCCATCCATCCATCCATGGATCCCATCCGCCCATCCATCAATGGATTCCATCTGCCCATCCATCCATGGATCCCATCCACCCATCCATCCATGGATCCCATCTGCCCATCCATCAATGGATTCCATCCATCCATCCATGGATCCCATCCGCCCATCCATCAATGGATTCCATCTGCCCATCCATCCATGGATCCCATCCACCCATCCATCCATGGATCCCATCTGCCCATCCATCAATGGATTCCATCCATCCATCCATGGATCCCATCCGCCCATCCATCAATGGATTCCATCTGCCCATCCATCCATGGATCCCATCCATTAATGGGTTCCGTCAGTGGAGTCCATCCATGGATTCCATCCATCCATCCATGGATCCCATCCATTAATGGGTTCCGTCAGTGGATTCCATCCATCCATCCATGGATCCCATCCATTAATGGGTTCCATCAGTGGAGTCCATCAATGGATTCCATCCATCCATCCATGGATCCCATCCATTAATGGGTTCTGTCAGTGGATTCCATCAATGGATTCCATCCATCCATGGATTCCATCCATCCATCCATGGATCCCATCCGCCCATCCATCAATGGATTCCATCCATCCATCCATGGATCCCATCCACCCATCCATCAATGGATTCCATCTGCCCATCCATCCATGGATCCCATCCACCCATCCATCAATGGATTCCATCCAACCATCCATGGATCCCATCCATTAATGGGTTCTGTCAGTGGAGTCCATCAATGGATTCCATCCATCCATCCATGGATTCCATCCATCCATCCATGGATCCCATCCATCCATCCATGGATTCCATCCATCCATCCATCCATGGATCCCATCCACCCATCCATCAATGGATTCCATCCATCCATCCATGGATCCCATCCATTAATGGGTTCCGTCAGTGGAGTCCATCCATGGATTCCATCCATCCATCCATGGATCCCATCCATTAATGGGTTCCGTCAGTGGATTCCATCCATCCATCCATGGATCCCATCCATTAATGGGTTCCGTCAGTGGATTCCATCCATCCATCCATGGATCCCATCCATCCATGGATTCTATCCATCCATCCCTCTTTCCTCTGTGCCCACAACAGTCCAGTGACCACCACCAGCCAGGTCAAGGAGCTGCTGGACCCGGAAGTTCCACAGCAGAAGACAATTTGACTTTCTCAGCGACGGGAAATTGGCACCAGTTGATCCCAGTTGAACCCAGTGAGGAATTCGAGCTGTGGGGTTTGGAGGGAAGGGCACAACGCAAAACCCAGCCCAGGGGACAGCTGAGGAGCACCTGAGGAATGATGGGATAGATCTGGGAGGAGATTCCCCTCCTGGGGAAAACCTCCCATGGAAAAAGCTCTGGGTGTGTGGAACGCTGCAATTCCCGGGAGGAATTGTGGGAGCCGTGCTGGGAACCTGTCTGGTGAGAGGTCTGGGGGAGGGGAGGCCCTGGAATTTCCCTAATTACCTGTCTGATTGCCCACACTTGCTGCTCTGCTCCAGGTTTAATTAGATCCAATCCAAACTGCCGGGAAGAGCCCAGGGGAGGCGGAGCTGGCTCAGATCTGCCTGGGAAAAGCAAATCCCAACAGATCACCGGGGTTTGGAGGCCTGGGAAGGTTCAGGTGTTGGTTCGAACTGTGGCAGAGGGGTTGGAGTTCAGGATTTGGGGTCCCTGGGTCACCTGGCTGAGGGTGGAGGGGTTGTGCTGTCCGGGGTGGCCCTTGGTGTGGATCAAAGCTGGAATCTACTGCTTCAAATCCCTGTGACTGGCATCCATCATCTCCCATCACATCCCCATGACCAATACCCATCACTTCTCATCCCATGACCAGCTTCCATCACCTCCCATTCCATTCTTCTGTCCAACACCCATTTCCAGCACTCAGCATCCCCCATCCCATCCCTGTGATCATGACCCATCCCATCCCCATGATGAGCACTGATCACCTCATCCCATCCCATCCCATTCCCATCACCCATCCCATTCCACGGGTCCCATCCCATTCCTGTGACGAGCACCCATCACCTCTGATCCCATTCCTTTCCATCCCTGTGACCAGCACCCATTTCCAGCACTCACCATCTCCCATCCGTCCCACGGATCCCATCCCATCATCAATTTCCAGGACGAGGTCCAAGCCAGCCCTTGATTTTGTCTGTGCTTAACTGCGCCTCATCCATCAGGATAATCATCCCAATAAAACTTCCTGCTGGCGATAAAATCCCAGGATTTATGGCCTAATCCTGTTTACATCATCGGGGTGGGCTGTGGGGTAGGACGGGGAAGGGGAGACCGCCGTGCTGGGATCGGGAGCACGCAGCCGCCGCCGCCGCCGCGTTTTTGGCAGCCAAATTTCCCGGGATGGCTCCACCTGGAGCTGGAAAAGTTGCAGCTTTGATGAAGGAGGGCCCTGTTAAAGCCTCACACGGAGTTTTCCAGGCTCGATGTCTGGCTTTGAGGGGCCTAAAACAGGGAATGGGGAGAAAAATTCCCCCAGTCCAGAAGGTGAGAAGCTTCCAGCTGGATTCTCCCCCCGAGGCGGCTCAGCTGCCGACGCCAGCCCAGATGTGCACAGATGTGTCTGGGTTTGCAGCTGCAGACACGGCAGGGGGCGGGAGGGGGATGAACTCATGGAAAAAGAGAAAGTTGGGAGGTGGAGAGGGAAACTGCTCCGACAGGGAAAGCTCCGTGGGGCCCCAGACTGATCCCAGGAGCGGCTGTGGGGATGGGGAGGAATCCCCACAAATCCCACAAAAACCATGCCGAGGTTTAGTGTGGAAAATGGGATTTTGGAGAGGGTGGGTTAGGGCTCGATTCCAGAATGGCTGTGAGGGTTCTGGGGCTGTTGGGAGTAAAATCGGGGATTTGGTGGTTTGTTTTACACTTTGCTTCCATGGAGATTCCCAAATCCAAGGGCCAAGTGAAGGGCAGCTCCTAAAGCTGGAGCAAAGGGACCCTGATCCTCGATGCCCCCGTGGAGAAGAGGCTGGGATTGGGATGTGGGAATTCTTGGAGAGGACTCTGTCCCACAGTGACCCCAGCTCTGATCCCAGCTCCAGGAAGGTCCCACCTGGAAACCCTGGAGGCGGCGGCTGCACTCCGGAGCTGGGTGGATCCCAGGGCAAACACGGATCTGGGAGCTGCTTACCCAGGGCGGAGGTGCCACATCCATGGGCACGGACACATTCCCAGTCCCTTCCTGGCACAGGGATGTCACCACAGGCTCCCCTCCACCCATGGGAATTTTATCCTGCTGTATCTCAGGGTTCCACACCCATGGGATGGGGGTCTTGGCTCAGCAGAGACACAGAGAGAGCTGGGATCCCATGGAATTCCATGGGAGGAATCCAGGAGAGCAGGGCTTGTTTAGTCTGGAGAAGGGAGGGCTGAGACGGCTGCACATTCCTGCAGGAGGGACAGAGCAGGGAGAGGAAGCAGCAGGAGTTGTGGGGAATTATTTAAAGGGAATTACTTCCAAAGGGAATTGAGGATTTTTTTTGGCTGATTTGCTGCCGGCTGCAGGATGAGGAGACACAGATTCAGCCCTGCAGACAATCCATGGGATTTCCTCTCCCTGTGCTCCCGCAGCTCACTGATGCTTTTTTGCAGGAGGAGCCGTTTTTCCAGCTTTTCTCTTCTCGGAAGGGGCTGAATTCCCTCTGATCAAATCAGCTTCAGAGGTCAGAGCTCAGCTGTGAATCCCATCCCTAAAACCGAGCTGCTCCTTCTCTGCTGTGGGACTGGGTCCAGCCTGGAGCCGGGATCGCTCTCCCTGGGAGAGATCCTGGCATCCATCATCTCCCACCCCATGGATCCCGTGCCACCCCATTTGTAAAATGTGTAAATCTTGTCCTTAAAACTGAGCTGCTCCTTCCCTCCTGGGGGAGCGGGGCCAGCCTGGAGCCGGGATCGCTCTCCTGGAGCTGCAGCTCAGCCAGGATATTCCATACAAGGTCAGGCTGGAGGTTTTTGGGAAAACTGGGAGGACTGGATGGGTTTATCCTGGTCAGGATCAGGCCAGCAGGATCCCCTTCCCAAGGATTTAACATTTACTCAATGAGGAGCCTCCTGCTGATGGGGGTGGATCTTCTCCGTGGGTGAGGAGAATCCCACTGCTCCCTTTTCCCTGAGAAACTGAGCAGAGTGCATAACCTCAGCTGCTGTGCTCGTGTCCTGCCTGGACACAGCGGAACAACAGGGCATGGAGCTGCACAATTCCAGCTTGTCCTGCCTGGACATGGAAAAATCACGGCAGGAGGACAGGGGTTCCTCCTGGAGCCTCGGCTTGGAGAGATCCATCTTTATCCAGAGCCTGCTCCCAAGCATGGACACACCCCTCCCTCCCAGGCAGGACTCGGTTGAGGCAGGAGAGGCCGTCAGGAATTTAATGGAACTTGGCACTGGAAACTGTACAACATTTACAGAGAACCACACGCTGTGTCTATGTACACCCTCTGCCCATTCCCAAAGATCCCAGCCGGATAGGGGACAGGCAACGACAATCCTCGGATGTGGAGTCACCAACAAGCTCGCCCAGCCTGGATTTTGGGATATGGCTCCCCAGTCCTGGATTTCAGGTGACAGGGATTGCAGGATTTCACTCCCCAGTCTTGGATTTCAGGATATGGCTCCCCAATCCTGTATCCCAAGGTCACAGGGATTGCAGGATCCCAGTGCCCAATCCTGTATCCCAAGGTCACAGGGACTGCAGGATCCCAGTGCCCAGTCCTGGATTTTGGGTCACAGGGATTGCAGGATCCCAGTGCCCAATTCTGGATTTTGGGTCACAGGGATTGCAGGATCCCAGTGCCCAATCCTGGATTTCAGGTGACAGGGATTGCAGGATCCCAGTGCCCAATCCTGGATTTTGGGTCACAGGGATTGCAGGATCCCAGTGCCCAATCCTGGATTTTGGGTCACAGGGATTGCAGGATCCCACTCCTGGATCTCAGAGACACCCCACTGTGCTCAGCTGTCACCATGCTGCTTCCCACGACACTCTGCAGCCATTCCCAAGCTGGGTCTTTCCCTGGATTTTCCCTGGATCTTTGGAGCGCTAGAAGATGGCAGTGCTGCCACCCTGAGTATTTACAACCACTCCTCCTCCTCCTCTCCTCACACCTCCAACACTTCCTCTCTACCTTTCTACCACATGCAAGAACCCCTTGGTTGCCTCCAAGTCCTGCTTCCCGGTGGGAAGTGTTTCATTTCCAAAAGGCAACAAAACCACGGAATCTACCTTTGCTCCCTGCTACTCCCTCTACTCACTGCTCCCCAAACCCTTTACAACGTGCCTACAGCCTTCCTACACCCTAGAGTAAAGCAGTTCTCTTTCAGTAGTGTCTCCCCCCAGCCCGTGGATTGCTCCGGGGTGATGTGAGGGACAGTTGGGACATCACCCCTCGGAGCACGAAGGATCAAGTACTGGAAAGGGAATGCCAAGTCTGAGCAACAAAAATACAAAAATAATAATAATAAAAAAAAATCAAAGAAAACAAAACAAAAAAAACCCAAAATCCCAACCCCCAAACTCGAAACAAAACTAATAAAAAATTAAATAGTTGTCAAGATACAAGAGTGAGACAGAGGAATGTACAAAGGACACACAGAGATCAAAGATTCCAGTAGGTGAATTGAGAACCTGTTGAATCTGGGGTCTGTTTTCATAGGATTTTTCTTTTGGGAAATTTGCAGGAATTACCATAACCACACACCAGAGTGGCTTCAGGTGTTGAGTCCTTTAAAGGACTTTTGCAGTGTTGATCTAAACACCCAGTGCTGCCCAAAATTCCACTTTATTTTCCATCCTCTGCTATGGCTGTGGGAAACTTCCAGGAACCCAAATTTGCTCTTCAGATCTGCCACGGGGGTTTCAGAAACCCCTCATGGATTCCAAGTGTAAAAACAGACCCCAGTTCAACAGTAACTGCACACCAGTAGCTGCCATTCCAACATAAACCCAGGATTTGATCCGCGGAGCGGCTCCGGAAGCGCTCCCGGTACAAAAATGTACACGGAATTATTTATAAATTAACAGTTTTCCCCCAGGGTGGCACCGGGGCTCCTTTTTTGCCTTACACCAGCGTTTCTTTCCGCTTCCCGCTGAGCTGCTTCTCCCTGGATTTTCTGTGCCCGGATGAGGTTCTGTGGGATTTCACCCCTTTGGCTTCCTCCGAGTCCAGGATGGAAGTGCACTCGGCCGCGCTCTCGTCCAGCTCCATCTGGGATATTCCCGACTGGCGCTTCTGGGCTGGGATGTTGGGCACGGAGGGGTTGTTCTCCTCGGACTCCTCGCTCAGCTCTGGCAGCTCCTTGAGCTCGGGGGCGGGAATGTTCCTCTGGAACGGGGCGATGGCCGTGCGGATGCAGTTCACCCACTGCTGCTTGTGGAAAACATCGTTGGCCTGCAGCGTGTGGGACTGGCCCGGGCTGGGATCTTGGAAACGGACTCGGAAGATGTTTTTGGCTGCAGAGAAGGGAAAAGCAGATCAGCTCCGAGTTGATGCTTAGGGATTCCATTGGTAGGTCTGAAATCCCAATAAAACCCTCCCCCAATCCCAAAAATCCAGCAGGGAGACAAAAGATGTTTTCTAATCCGAGCTCCGGCTGTGAATTCATGGACTGGCTGACTGGACCCATACCTTTATCAGAATTTCCAAAAGCTCCTCGGAAGGAGCCTCCCATTTTGACATCTCCATCCTGGAGGTCTTCAAGGAGGAGCTCCTGGACAGGGATGGGCTGGCGGTACACCTGGAACGCCTGGCGCTCGTTGCGGGTCACCGGCCGCGTCAGCACCAGGATTTCTTGGAAGAGGAAGACGTAGAGCTTCTGGAAGGGAAAACATTCCAGCATTCGCTCTGTATTCCATGAGGTCACACATCCTGCGGGATCCAAGGCCACCTTATCTGCAGTTTCACCCACAATACTTTTCAGGCTCTCCGGTGACAATGCCAAGGTCTAGCACACACCAGGATTACATCAGCAGCTTTATTATTTTATTGATCCTTAGAAAGGGAATGATGATTCCCAGGTGCCTGGGATAGCATGATTAGGAGCCATATCTTTCCTGTGTGCATGGAATGCTGGAGCAAAACAGCCAATCAAACCAAAAAAACCAACCCCAATCAACAGAGAAAAGATGAGGAGATTTGAGGTTGAAACCAGGACAAAAGGCAGCGAAGCCGGGAGTGCAGTGGGTGGGAGATAAACTCCAGGCAGCCCAGCCCAAAGCCAAACAGGCCCTTGCAGGAACCCTTTTGTTTGGAAGAGCCAGGGCTCCTAATGGGGAATGTCAGAGCATTCCTGGGAAGTAAACAGTGGCAGGAAATCCCTTTGGATGGAGAGCACTTTCTGTGGGCATTCTGTGCTAATGATTTTCCAGCCTCCCAAAGGCAATTGTGGAGCTGTCAGCAGGAAACTTTCCCTTACACCCTGCAATGAGGCTGACAATAGTAAGGGATTTCCCTTTGCTCTCTTATCCAATATCCAACTATCCCTAAGGAGGGAAGGCTCTCAGTCCTGCTCTGGGGATAAGGCTAGAAAATTAATTAGTAAAAAACGAGGGACTTACGTGTCCATTTTTATTCTTCAGCTCCCCGTGGCACAGTAAAGCTTTGCTGCCTTCAATCCTTGGATCCTTCTGCTTCTCATCCAGGTATTCCAGCTTGTCAATGTAGTACTGGCACTCAGACTCGCCCTTCTTCAGGTTGATGTCAGAGAGGACTCCTTGGATTATGGATATCTAAAAACCCAAACAAACGATTAAGAGGGATTAACTGTTTCCCTGTGTGCCCTCTACTCGTGCTCCTTCACAACCCCAAAGGATGCAATCCACATGGATTGATCCCTCACTTTCCCTGTCACAGATCTGTGCCACTCCAGAAAACCCCCCTGGGAACTGCTGAGGGTTTAAGGAAGATTTCTGAAGCCCCCACATCACATCCTTGGGCCAGAAGAAGCAGAGCAGGATTACTCACGGCTTCTTCCAGGATGTGGATGTCGGGATGGTCTTTGGGAGTGTGCCTCAGGATCTCCTTGAGGAGCAGGGGGTATTTGACCAGGCGGCTCCGAGGGATGTCCAGGAAGCTCCAAAGGTCCAGCTTGCGGCTGAAGGGAGACTCCAGGCAGCGCTGCAGGAAATCCTGCACTCTCCTGTCCTGCTTCTTCTGGTCCAGCAGTGCTTTGGCTGCCAGCTGGTTGCTGCAGTAGCCTTTGTAGGCATGGAGGCGGGGTAACTACAGGGAACAGAGGAGATTTAGGAGTCAGATTCCCTGTGGGAAAAGCAGATGTCACTAACATGGCAAACTCGTGGAGTTCTGCAGCACTCACTGGGGTGCTTTTCCCAATAAAAAAGATAAGGGAGGATCTTGCGAGGAGGATCAGCACCTGGAGCCCATGAAGCTTCCAATGTTTGGGATTAGCAGGGATAACACTCCTGGACTCACACTGGGACAAAGAGTCCAGGAGACACACAGAATTTCAATCTTAATCAGCAAATCATTCCAAGTCTCTGGGGTGAAATCAGGGCCAATTCCAGCTGAGAGAATCCCATTGTTTTCAGCATTGCCAGCATTTCCCTTCCAGTCTTGCACTGATGGCCACAAAAGCCCCAGAACTTTGCAGCTTTTGCCTTTAAACGTTCTCTAAACTCAGTTTTAGCCTGTTGATTCCAAGTTCTGAACTCACCCACTTCACAAGGATGGGCCCAATCTGCTCCACTGTTCCATCTGGTTTTGTTGCTTCTCCCAAACTTGCCAGTAAATCTGGAATGGAAACGGGGAAAGAGGAATTGCACCAATGCCCCAGTGAGTAACAGGAGAAAGCAGAGAGGTTAAATCCTAGCGAGCACAAACCGCCCAGCTGCTCTTACCTTCGTGCAGAGGAATGTAGGAATCCAAGTCCCCAAAAATGTGGGTGAGTTCCTCCTCAGACATGATTGAGAGTTTCAGCATGGGGTCATGGTAGGCCTGACAAATAAAATATATTCAAATAGATTCAAATGTGCTCAGCCCCAAAGCTGATGATTTAAACTGATTTATCAGGCTAAAGAAGTGAAGGCAACAGAAAGAGTATCACTGATTTGATGTTAGAATATTCACTCTGTGTGAAGTGTGGAGGACATAAATGAAAAGCATTTTCCTGTCTGGACTGTTCCCAGCTGGGAGAGGGAGCCCCCAGGCAGCTCTGCACAATCCTTTTATGGCTGGGTTTGCTGCAACCACTGCTGGCCCAGTGCTCACGTCACCCTTCTGGGCCAGCTTTCAAACTGGGGGTTCTGGGGCTGATAAAGTTCCCACGTCATGTTTGCAGGTGCAAAAAAAACCACCTCATTATTCACTGGAATGTCGTCACCAACTGCAGGAAAAATCCCACTCACCTTTCTGGCCAGCTTCAGGTCTTCAATCAGGTCCTGCTCTCCCCTGGACATTTCATAGATGGCCTGGGAGGAAGGGGATAAAGCATCCTGAGTCATTTGGAGTCCCAGTCTTTCTCAGAAAGAGCCTTTCAGCTCCCGTGATGTACAGCCTGCCCTGAATAGGCCTTTGGCCACCCCAGTCCCTCAGTGGCACCTGGGCATGGCAACCCTGAGTAAATCTGCTTTGCAAGCCCTGAGAAAGCAGCTCTGCTTCCAACTGTGTGAAAGCCCCGACGGCCCCTGCACGAGCCAAATTAAATACTAGAGCCTTTTAAATCACTGCTTTTAGCCAGGCGAGGCTGCAGACACAAAACCCCCGAAACCGCAGAGGTCAAACCCCAGGCGGCTTCCGGCAGCTCCTGTGCCGTCTCCAGAAGATTTGTCCAAGATCTCCAGGAAAAAGACAAGCCAAGGCCTCGCTGCCTGGCTTCCAACCAATTGTCAGGAGCTTTAGGAGAAAGACAGCTGGCTCTGCGAGGAACCTGAGGTTGGGGCAGCTGCAGAGCAGCCAGCGGGGCCGGGGCTGGGATTGCGGGAATGCCGTGGAAAGTTTGGCATCTCCAAAGGGTCACACCGGGGAGATGAATTCCAGAGTGGAATCCACCTTTTCCCATGGCTGATGCAGACATAAATCTGAGGTTTAGGTGCACAGGGAGATGTGCCCTCCCCAAAGGGAAGGGACAAGAGGCCCCAGTGCTGTCCCAGTCCCGTTTTCCATGGGCAGTTACCTCCTGGCGCTTGATTTCTTTGGTGCTCAGGGATTCTTTTGTGTTGACATCCAACATTTCAGACCAAAGGACGCTGCTCCTTCTCTTGGGGGGAGTAGGAGCAGCAGACCTGCTACATGACTTCTGGGCACAGCCAGGGGATTTGCTGTCACTGCGAAGGGTGAATGACTGCAGGGATTAAAAAAAAGAATGAAAAATACTATAAACAAACGTGGAGAGCCAACATTTCAGGAGAATTACATTATCCATCCCAATCCTTCATCCTCCTGGGTTATCCAGGGCCGGAAAACACACCCAGACACTTTTCCTCAGATAAAGGAAAGCTTTAATCAAGCTGCTGAGAAAGCCTGGCAAGGTTTTCCGTGCCCCTCTCCCTGCACTGATATGCTGGGGAGGAAGATGGGAAAGCAAAGCTTGGCTTTATTTCCAAGGTATGAGGAAGTAAATAAAGGAGGATCATAACTCTTGCTCTCAAGAGGTTAATGAGAAGCCACTTGAACTTTGCCCTGGTGTTTTTGCAAGGTTCCTAAAACCCTGACGTGCTGTTATCTGCAGGTGTGAGCACAGAGCTCCTTGGTAAACATTGCTGTGCCAGAGCTGGGCAGCGGGGTCAGCTCTCAGCATGCTGCAGCACACGTGTGCCCAGGCCCGGGGCAGTTTATCAGCTCTTTATCTGAAGCAGTTGATTTTATTTACTCTTGAACCTGTTTGTACAGCACTTTATACCTGGGCACTCCTGAGGTAGCACTTTCTATCCCCAAGGCCAAGGAAGTTCACACAGAGCTCCAAGAGACGCCTCAAAACAGGGTGCCTGTTTCAGCCCATCCACCCAATCCCTTGGATGCCTGTTTCACCCCATCCACCCCACCCCTTGCCCAAATCTCCAGGTTTAACTCTGTTTTTACCTGGATTGTCTGCCCAAAGCGTCGAACTGCCCCATTTCTGACAGGAGAGATCAGGTTTGCCAGGGAGGTGACTCGTGCTAAAGGCCGGACCCGTTTAGTGCTGGGCTCCTGCAAAGCAAGCAGAGAACAAATTGTCCTGGCTGTGCCTCCCTCGGAAATTTTCTCAGGCAGCTCCTAAAAGCACAAACCCACTTAAGGAGTGGCAAACACAGCAAGGAGAGTGTTTGGAAGCAGCCATTCATCTTTCAAGGCTATAAATATTTGTCTGAACTTTAAGGCAGCAATTAAACTGCAGAGGTTTTTGCCCAGTGTTAAAAGAGGTGAGAGAACATCAGTGAGAATTCAAAATAGGGCTCCAGCAGGGACTGTTATGCTTTGAACAGAAATAGATTAAAATGTTCTCTGACACTCTGCGGCAGCTAAAGATGGAGCTGGGATCTGCTTCTCCATTTTCTCATCTTTTCCTCTGGAGAAAGAATGTGTTTTTCCATTTTATTTTGGAGAGCAGGGCAGCAGTGGGGGCCCAGCACAGCCTGGGCAACTCCTTTAACAACCAGCAAACAACCACAAGCTGAACATTCCTGTGAGGGACACGCACACAGATGAAGCTGAAATCCTTCAGTTTGCAGTGTTTCCTCCTCCTCCTGCTCTCCCCCACCCCCTGCAATGACTGCAATTTTTCTTACACATTGTTTAGATTTGAAAGTTGGAGCTTCTGCTTTTCTCCACCACTAATCCCTGCCTGGAGCTCCAGTCTGTCCCGACCCAAACGCTGCCAAGAAAGAGGAAACGCCCCTGGAAAGCTCCTGCTGCTTCAGTTTTGAAAATTTTGTTGGCAACTCGATGTGTTTGACACCAAAAATATCGTGTGGTGAGGGCTGGGCAGGAAAGGTGTGCACAGGGGGAAGCTGGGAAGAGATGGGCACCGAGTTAAGCCTTGGAAAAGGCTGCAGGATTGTCCTGGTGCTCCCAAACATCTGGCACAGGGCTGGACTGACTCATCCTCAGGAGACTGCTCAGCACCAAGCTTGATCAGGACAAGGAAGCAGAACAGCCTCCAACTGGGTTCATCTCGGTTAAAATTGGTTAATTATTGTTGAATTTGTGCTCTTTCAAAAGGCAGAGGCTGTGGAGGTGCTGAGGACGAGCTCTGGGCTGTTTCCATTCCCTGCCCAGCCAAACCCTTTGCTCAGAAGTGACAAATGTTGAAAACAAAACTGAAAAAAAAGGGAAGAGGAACACACAGAGATGGATTCCAGTCATGAAGACTGAAGGAGCATAAAAGCTGTATGTGTGTGTGTGTGTTTAAGATCGGATTTCAGCAACTCGACCCCAGCAGTGGCCCTGCCCGCACGCGGTGTTGGGCAATAGAGGAGGAGGAGGAGGAGGAGGAGGAGGAAGAGGTGAGCTCACCCTGAGCTCAGCCTTCAAACTTGCAGGGGGGGAACATGAAAAGAAACAATTTATGAGCCGTGCAGGAAGAAAAGAGCTCTTGGCACAGCACAGAGCTGTGCTATAAGCGTTTGGGGAATGTCAGACCTCGGAGGGTACCATAAAAATAGAGAAAAGCCATAAAAGTGTCCTCGGATCCTCAGCTGGGTTTAAGTGGGACATCAGGAACTCCAAGTGGGACATCAGGAACTCCAAGTGGGACACCAGGAACTTCTCCACTGAGCTCCAGACAGGGACAGTCAGAAAAAGGCTGGAAAGTCAGGCCAGGCTCAAAGACAACAAGGAAGGTTTAATTTATTGCTGATGCTTCTGAGTGGAAGAAAAGGGAGGTGTTTTCTTCTAGAAAGTGCAGGATAAATAAAGGGACGCGGGTCAAGAGAAGCTTAGAAAAGTGCAGGACTGAATCAGGGAAGATGCAGACACAAAGCCACCCACGGCTCTGGCAAGGCCAGGGATAAAAATAACCTGGAAAAGCAAAATGTGACAAGAAAGCTCAAGGCGTGGGGAGGCTCCAACGGGTCACTGGTGAAGGGTCAGCGCTGCAGAGATCCAGTGACAGCCGGGCCAGGGCCGTGCGGGAATGTGGGAATGTGGGAATGCCTTCCCAGCACATCTGTGCCCCGCTGAAGTGACACGTGCACCCAAGGGCTGGCAGCAGGAATTCCTGCATTCAGCTCAGCAAAAAGCCGTTTTTTCCTCTCTTAAAAGAGGAGAAAAAAAAAAAAAATTCCCACTTTGTGTCTGAGCGCTCCTCAGACACGGCCCGACTGCCAAAAAAAACCCATCTGGTGGTTGTTCTCCTCCTGAAGATCGTTTGATGCAGAGCAGGGAGGAGGAAAATCAAACCCCAGCGCTTGGAAACTCCCCTTGGCTGAGCTCTGTGTTTCAGCCCGGGGTCACGGTGTAAGCCGAGACTGCGGCGGCTCATACTGCGGATAACTCGGGCTCAGGAGGGGCTTTTTTTTAGCTCTGTACTTGCAAACAATGACTCTCCTGTCTCCACGCCGTCTTCCTTACAGGAGCCAGATTACAATAAAGTCTGCGAGGTTTCTGCAACAATCCAGGGGTGTTACAGCACTCACTAATAATTAAAACCCCAGCGGGGTCAACAGCTCCATCAGGAAATATTGTTTTTCCAGAGAACTCTTTATTTAAAGTGAATTAATACATCACAAGAGCAGCCACTAAAGCTATTTTCGTGCCAGGCGAGATTTCACACCCCTGAAATCCCTTCAAGTGCTTCTAAGTGCAGGTTAACTCCTGAAAAGATTGCACCGGGCCATAATTTTGAGGAAGGTTTTTTTCTTCCAGCAGCACGCCCACAACCTTTCCCCTGTGCTGGGTAATAATTAGTGGTTTTTACAAGGATCCTTTGCTCGAGTGCAATTCCTACGTGCGGCACACACGGTTCACATCAGCCCCACAAAAACACGGTGAGCAATGGCAAAACCACGCGTGACAAAAAGTTTTCCTACCCAGCCAATTCAGCAAAAAGGGCGTTTTAGTCAGCAGCCTGAATAATTCCTGCCAGAAATCACCCAGCACCTGACCACCTCCATGGGAGAGGGGCTCGCTGAGCCTCAAGCTGAACAATCAGACCTTTCCCAAATCCAACAGCCCATTCGCGACTAAACTGTGGCTCAGACAGAAGTGTTGGCTCCCGTCAGAATTCAGAATTAGAGGCGATTTACTCTCCAGCCAGAGCTCTGGTTTATGTTATTTCTCCCCCAACATCTGGTTTCCCTTTTGCACAATGAGATTGCCCAAGTTTGGCTGTTGCAAAGCCGGGATTTGCTGAGCTTGGTGACTCGGCGCTGAGCCCTCAAACCTCAGCCATGTCTGGAAACGCCTTTTTTTTTTTTAACTTTTCCACCTCATCTCGCCACTAATCTGAGCAATAAACCCAGCCCAAGGCAGCCGGGCCCTACCTGGCTGCTGAACTTTTGCTCCTGTCGCAGCAGGAGCCTTGGGAACACCTAGGAGCAGCGCAATTATTGCCATCTGCATAACAACACGCGATAAAAATAACAATACTTCCATCAAACAAACCTCAACAGCCCAACAAACCCCACCAGGGGTTTTTCGAAGGTTTAAGCAGCAAAAAAAACCACCTAATTAAGTAAAATCCTGTCAGTGGAAAGAGTGCTGAGAGACGAGCGACTTTTTAATGGAAACAGATTTCCAAATGAAAACAGGCGAATTTTTAATGAAAAGCCACCTGGGGGGAGCGGGGTCAGGTGAGACACCGAGATTGGTTTTGGCTCAGTCTTTGGGGGCTAGGAGCTTAAATACATACATATATATAACGTATATATATGTATACAAAGTGTATATATATGCATATAAAAAGATACGTACATATACATGGATTTAAACATACATACAGTTTATAAATCGCTGGGTGAGGCGCCGACATCGGCTCTGGCTGCCTGATCCCACTCTTTGGGGGGTATGAGCTTAACTATATTGCGTATATATATATAGATAGATAGATAGATAGATAGATAGATAGATAGATAGATAGATACAACACCACATAAAATATATGTATACATGGAGATGAAGTTAAACATAGATATGTAGAGAGTGTTTTAAAGCGCTGGCTACCCCGCGCTCTGCCCGGCTCGCCCCCTCCCCTCAGACGCGGAGAAGCTGAGGGGGCTCCCCCTCCCCACTCTCCCCTTAACTAACCCCCATATCTCCCCTCTCCAGCCCCTGTCCCGCTCACCTCCTGCTCCCTGAAGTGCTGGTTCTGCGCATCGATGACCCGGATAGTCCTTTTGATGGGCAGCAGCCCGCCGAGCTCGTCGTGCGCCACCATGGCCGCGGCACAGCCCAACCCTCCCTCAGCCCGCGCTCATCGCGCTCTGCGCCCGCCGCGCGCCGCGCCCCCGACCTCACCGCATGGGGCGGGGCCACCGCGCAAAGCCACGCCCAGTTGGCGGTAAAGCCACGCCCATTTGGGGCAAAGCCACGCCCCGTTGGCGCCAAAGCCACGCCCCCTTGGGGCAAAGCCACGCCCCTCGGTGCCCGCGGCACTGCGGACCCTCCCCGAGCCCCAAATTCCTGCAGAATTCTCCCAAAAAATGCTCCTGCTCGTTCCTCTGAGTGCTGTGTGCAGCTGTGGCTTCTCAGGACAGGAGGGATGTGGGGATGGTTCAGGGCTTGCAGCATCTCCATGCCAAGGAGGAGTGAGGGAGCTGGGGCTGCTCAGGGCAGAGGGGACACGGCTGAGGGACCCCATCCATGGGGATCCACATCCACAGGGAGCTTCCAAAGGATGGAGCAGCTCTGCTCTGGGCCCAGCGCTGGTACCAGGGGAAGGGGCAGGGGTTGAGCCCAGAATTCCCCCTGGATGTGGGGCAGAACTCACAAAACTCACAGAATTACTGGGTTGGGAGAGAGCTCCAAGAGCATCGAGTCCTGCCCAGCCCCAACACCTCACCCAGTGCCACATCCAGGCTTTTCAAACACACCCAGGGCTGGTGACTCCACCACCTCCCTGGGCAGCCACCCCAGAACTTTATCACCTTTCTGGAAAAGCTTTTTCCTGCTCTCCCACCTGAATTTCCCTGGGCACAGCGTGAGGCTGTGTGCTCTGGTTCTGTCAGTGCTGCCTGGAGACAGAGCCCGAGCCCAGCTGGGCACAGGCACCT